TTTAATACCCAGGAGCAGAGAAGAAGATTTTCAAAGAATTAATACATTTTCACTATATACTCAATAGAGCCCTGCCCTAACACCAGAACCCCTGACCCAGGGGCCATGAAATTCACAATTTTGAAAGAGGCACTCTTGCTCATCATAACTATATACTTAGTAAATTTATTTAATACCCAGGAGCAGAGAAGAAGATTTTCAAAGAATTAATGCATTTTCTCTATATAATCAATAGAGCCCCGCCCTAACACCAGAACCCCTGATCCTGGGGCCATGAATTTCACAATTTTGAAAGAGGCACTCCTGTTCTTCATAACTATGTACTTAGTTACTTTATTTAATACCCAGGAGCAGAGAAGAAGATTTTCAAAGAAATAATGCACTTTCCCTATATGATCTATATAGCCCCACCCTAGCACCAGAACCCCTGACCCTGGGGCCATGAATTTCACAATTTTGGTAGAGGACTCAATGCTTATTACAATGATGCCAACAGTATGACTGCTTGATGTCCAGGAGTAAAGAAGAAGATTTTTAAAGATTGCATTATTTTTGGTGGTTTTAGCCCCACCCCTCAGGCCCCAGGGGGGCAGGGACCATGGAATTCACAAGTTTTGTTCCCCTTCACCCATAGGTGCTATATGCCAAATTTGGTTGAAATTGGTTAAGCGGTTTCAGAGAAGAAGCTAAAAATGTTCAAATGTTAACACACGACGCACACCGCACGACGCACGACGCACGCCGACGGACGAGAACGGATAGCAATAGGTCACCTGAGTGACTCAGGTGACCTAAAAATCTAAACCTTCCCACTGCAAATAAAGTGTATACAATTTGTTTTTAAACCAATCTGATTCTATTCATCTCAAAATTTTCATCTGAAAAGTTCTGGATCGAAAAGATTCTTATATTCCCTATACAAGTCTATACATTTAGACGCTGGGATGTTTTGTTCTTATTTATAAAAATCTAAACTTTCCCACTGCAAATAAAGTGTATACAATTTGTTTTTAGATCAATCTGATTCTATTCATCTCAAAATTTTTATATTAAAAGGTCGGGATCGAAAAGATTCTTATATTCCCTATACAAAGTCTTATACATTGATTTTCTGAAAATGGCTGACCTTTGACCTCCCTTGTGTTTATCCCGAAACCGACGCTAAGTTTATTTTTACACTTGTAGCGATTCTTTTGATCTGAAAACTATACCGACACTCTTCCCTAAGTTCAATCTTATTGTGTGCAATAAGTTTTCTGTGTCTTACACTCTAAAAAGTCTAAAACGACTTATTTTATGTATTCAGGTCAGTCAAGGTTGACCCTTCGCTTCGGCATGAATGAGCCTGTTCTAAACAAGGGAACAATGTCATGTATGAAAAATACTGTGAAATCATTCTCAAAACTTACCTTCATTCTTTTACTAGAAGGTTTGAATGTATATATAATTCCATAATATGTTATTTAATCCAATGTATGTATTCACAAAACACAAATAACACAATTTTGATGTTTCCATGATTTTCTGAGCTCTTCTTCATCCGGGCTTTTAGGGTGCTCTCTTTTCGGCTCGCGCTGTGTGTATAAATACCGACGCTGATCAGCTGTTAACTGTCATTCGTTAGCCAGCTGTTCCAGCGACACTACAAGGACATGTCTCTCTTTACCGAGAATGTAGCGATTCAGCCAGGAGTCGAGGTGATCCTGCAGATGGTGGTCCGGAACCAAGACACCGGGGAGGAATTCGCTGTCTTCAACATGGGCAGGATCAGAGTCGGAGATCTTAGGACCTTCGTGGCAAGCAACATCGCCCGGAGAGCCGCCAGAGCCACCCCCTATGACAGGCCTTCGCCTTCGCCAGCAAGGAGCAGAGAGGAGCCACCACGCCCCGTATACCATCCGCGGCCGGAGGAGGAGGGCAGGAACTTCGGCCTGCCGGACAGTCCGGAGTCCCCCCTTCATCTCCGGCCGGAGCAGCAGTCGACCGCCTCCTCGACGGGGTTTCTTCACCTCCCCAGGACCGAGCGGTATTCCAAGGTTGTATTCCGTTGTGGGGGATCCAGGCTTCTGTGGCCGAAGGGTATTGCTGTCTGTGTTTGTGCGACCAGGAGTTATCCAACTTCCTGTGCGGTCGATGCCGCCAGAGGCCAGCCTGCTTCCTCTGTGCGGCCCGCCTGATAGACCGGGGAGAGGGCTGCCCCCTCTGTCGTTACGGGAGCCCGGAGCCCCTTGTTCGCACCACCCCTCCTACCCGTCCCTCAACACCCAGGGTGGGCCGAGGCCGTGGCGTGACTATCGAAGGAGTAAGAAGAACACCAGACAATGGAATTGCCACTGGTCGTGGACGAGGGCGACGTCCCAGGGAGTAAACCCTGAAGAGGAAAAAAAAACAACAACGGTCCTTTTAAGGACCAAGTCCCAGGGAGTAAACCCTGAAGAAAAAAAATCAACAACGGCCCTTTTAAGGGCCAACCCAAATTTTACGAAAAGATACCTTTTTGATACACGGTTATAAAAGAAACGTATAATAAACACCAGAGGTCACTGTTTTTTTTTTTTTTTTTTTTTTTTTTTTTTTTTGGTTAAACTCATAAACACTTAAAATTATTATTTTTTTTCTTGTCAACTCATATTATTTATTCGATTATAACAACAACAAAAAAATCTATAGACTTTCTCTCCCCCATGTCCAATAAAAAAAAAAAATACACACATGAAAGACAGTGATTTTCTCAAATCATTAGGGAATGTGTTTAAGTACGACTTAATTTTCTGTGTTTATGCCGCCATGATACTCTCCAGGCAAGGTTTTTATTATTCCCTGTTCAAGGCGTGTAATCCACGCTGTAAGTCGTTTAAAGTTTTTTAACACATTGTTTATTGTTGTGATTATGTTATCCCTCACCTATATGTTTTAATGTCAGCTATGCTAATGAACCTAGTTCTGCATGATTTTGAGATAATGGTTTGTCATGTGCTTAAAGTATGGCCTGCTATTCATGTCATCATTTATGGTCCATAGTAAATAAAGTCTGTATTTTTTATCTTTTTTAAAAAAATATGTATTTTATGAATGAAATTTCATTGATTCCAGTATAAGTTAAGTCGTGATATATATATATTACTCTTTTTTTATTCCATTACATTTAAAAACATGCATTGTTTCATGTAGTATTTTTGTCATCATAACAAAAAAAAAATGGATTTTATTTCTACAGTCCTCAACATTGGAAGATATGTTTTTTAGGGTTCCTAACCATCTATAATCCAGTCTCTATGAAGTGAAGCCTGGGCTGTACTCTTCCTTTTTTGGAAAAAAACACACACAGTTAATCATCCAACATATAGAAACAAACAAAACTTTTGAAGTTTTTCAATGAGATACAAATTTTTAATTCTGTTTTTTTACTATACATGTTTATATATATATATTTTATAAAAAATGGATAAAGAAAAATGGATAAGTCAAAGATAATTGATAATGTAAATTATAATACCATAGTTGGTAAAAGATAACAAGGTTTTTTATATCTCCAAGTGCTGATGATTTTTCTGAATTTTTTTCCATTTTTTTTAATATTGACAATATATTACAGGGGGAAAAAAGAAAAACTGTACTGTGAGCCAAACTGGATGATCTCATGGAATTATAACAAATTCCTAGTGTTTTCTACTGGGCTCCCCACCCACCCACCCACAAGGATCTGCTTATGAGTGCATCAGACTGCTGTGGAGGCTGAAGCATGGCACTTCATATTCCTAAAAAAGGTACTTTCAAAAAAAAAAAGAAGATTTATTTTATATCACATAAAAAACACACACATACACAGTTAATGTTTATGAAGAATATACACATGTTTGTCATAAGTGTGTACAAATTGTTCAATATAATGTCTATAATGAGTCCAATTTCCTCCAGCTAAGCCACATCCAATCTTGTAAGGAAAAGCAAGAGTTTTATAAGGTAAATTTCCCAATTCTTGTAAACAGGCTTGAAACCATTGCTCTCTATTTTGTGGGGTGTCCTGATAAGTGGAGATTCTTTTAGGTCTGTGACTTGCTCTGCCATAATCCCATTGAGCTAATAAACAAATGACCACAGGTGTTTGTGAGGAAAACACCCTAATGGTTCCTGGCTTATCCCTGTCCTCTTCTAAGGCTAAATTTCTAGACCCTAAAGGTCTGCGGGTGGCATACAAATTCGCTTGAGGATATTTATCGGCTATACTTTGACTCAATCCATGAGCTCTGACTGTTAAACAGTTACATTGATGTACGATAGCTTCTACAGGAATGTTTAATAAATCACCCTGTATCTCCTGGAGACTCATGATCAACAAATGAGGCTATTTTTTTTCTTTTTCTTTTTTTTATATATACCTTTTTCTATCTATATTTAGTATCATGGGGAAAACCCCCCTTTTTAAAAAAAGAAAAAAAAAAAACAAGAACAGATTTTTTTTTCCAATTCTTTTTTATTGATAACAACAACAATTAATTACATGACATTTTGATAGAAACATTGACAAGTTTGTCCATGACCCGTAGGTCTTTTATGATAAGTGTCTTTAAACCATTGAGCTACATAATGATCTCTTTGTAAAGCTGTACTATGGTCAAAGGGAAATAACCACTCGTCTGCTTTCTTTCTCAACTTGTGTCTTTGATGTAAATAATACACACAATATTGTCCACACACATCGGTCTTCCAATCTTGATATCGATACGGATTATAAATCCATTGGTGAGCATGACGCTGGATAAAGTCTTGAATTTCTTTCTGTAAGGGAGGAAATCCATAAGAGTCAAAATATTCCACCACTGGACTGCTCACGTACAGACACACCCAGTGTTCTCCAGGTTGATCTTGAGGATCCGTATTCACCACGATGGCTTTTTCTCCAAGTCTTAATTGATCCGGTAATATATCCAAAGGGTACACTCCACCAAAAGAACTCTTTAATTCTCTGGATAAGACTTCTCTCAACTGTCCCGTATCCATTAGTAATCAATACTCACTTCTCTCTGTTTGTCAATTTCTAACAGGTTATCGAATTCTGCATACACCACACAATTTAAGGTGTTCACCGTATTGTTCGTAAATTGGACTTCTATTCTCAGATTTCCGGTTTCTATGATGTGGAATTTGTCCGATTGCGCTTCTTGATCTTTAGTGAAATCCCAGCCCCACAGAGTGTATCCGTTTTTATACTCTTCTAGGGTGATGTCCGGAGCCCAATCTTCTCCTAATTTTCCCAAGGCTTGATATAGACTCAGATAAGATCTCAGATATAAATCTTCATTGAAATTGGGCTCAAAACAACGAGTACTCATGGTCTCTCCGTTGATACTGACATCTAATTTCTTAATTCCAAAGTTTTGAAAATGAAACGGATTTTTAGTTTTATCTCCGTTAAAAGCCGCATTTTCCACAAAGCCTAAAATGAGACGTTTAGGCATCTGACCTTGAAACAGATGATCCGTAATCTTAGATTGAGTTCCTGTCAGTATGGTAAAGGTTTTCACTTCCACTCTTCTCAAAGGATATTTGGCTCTATGAGTGTTCAAACTTTGATTAATGCCATTCATCATGACGGCCGTGGGTTTGACTTTTCTCACCCACAAGACCATGTTCAATATTTTCACTTTTCCCGTACTTAGTGCTTTGATCATCATATAGAACTGAGGTCTGGCTCGATTAAATCTCAAACGGACGTCTACTCCATTGGGTAGAAATCGGTCTTTTTTGAAATAGATCCAGATGTAAACGATCAAACAAGGCTATTTTCTTACTATCTTTGATGGCCTGGTGACGTTTTCTAAATCCTTCGTTTCTAGAATTGGCCGGTAACTCTGGGACGATGGGTTCGTCAATGACCACAGTATCGGCAGCACCACTTCCACCTTTGGTTACATCAAATGTCTTATTTTGAGCCACTCCAAGGTCTGCTACCCCCACTTCGTCCATGTGTCCTGCCGTATCTTTTTCCCACAGACTACAGGCTCTCATCTGGGTCATTAAAGTTCTGGGTTTGTAAGAAAGTAATTTCTCCAGATAAGCTTTGTAAGGATAAGTATCGGTTCCCGGAGACACTATTTTTCCATTGACACTGAGATCGATTTCCGTAAACAAGGAATGAAAGATATTATTCACCGGGGCGCAAGTGGTGCTAGCTCCAGTCAGATCAGTACCATCGTCTTTGGTAAATTTACACACCATTTGAACATACGTTTGAGATAAATCCAGATATTGATCTCCTTGTCCTTTAATTTCAAATTCAATGGGAGCCGTATCCGAATCTAAAGTACTAGAAATGGGGTAATATTCTTCCCATTTGGAGTCTTCTAAAGCAATATTAGTCGGGGGGACTTGGAACAATTGTAAATTGTTCATCCCACACGCACAGGAATCTGGTTGCAACATGATGTCTGTTTACTAGGATGGATTTTTCACAAATGAAGGTCAATCTCACTCGACTTCCCTATTTATAGTGTCTCTCAATCAAAGATATCTAAAGGACGTGTTTTCTTAGTCTGAATTCCTCCTTGTTTTTTTCTTTTTCTCTTAGGACCTCCTCGGGCTAACACAGGTGTCTTTTTTCTTCTTTTCTTAGTACCTCCTAGATTCATTCTTTGTTTCACCATTCCCGAAGTGTTTTTCAGGGCTTGTACTCCGTGAGTTTTGACAGCGTCTTTTAAAGATCTCTTATTTTCTAACACGTCTAACCCCGTTCTAGCAGCAGCGGTCAAGGCGTGTTTAGCCCCCGATTTCAGTAAATCCGTAAAAATTCCTTCCCCTCTTTGATAGTTTTGGGGTGGATAATAATAGGGTGGGGGTGGGGGTGGTTGCTGTTGGCCTCCTCCAAATAATCCTCCTATTAAGGGAGCTGCTACTTTAAACAAGGATCCTAAAATACCGTGTCCTTTTTGACGTAATAAACCTCTATGATAGACAAACTGTCCGTGTCCTCTTTGTCTCAATAATCCGGGATGATACTGCATGTTTTCATGACTCGTGTCAGACTGACCTAAATGCACTCCGGGGACTCCTTTTTATACCCCTCCCTGTCTTAGGGTTGAATACAATACAGACAGCATATCAGACAAGTCATCACTCCCAACAGGATGTAACAAAAAAGATGTACACTCATCTCAGTACACTTTTCTGAAATGAAGTTTCACGACCGATTTTCCACTTAAAAAAGGCATGGGAGTCCCTAAAGGAGTCATGATATGAATCTCAATGCTATCGAAATGTTTTTTACTCAGTTTCAAATATTCCGCTCTAACGGGTTCCCATTTAGCTTGTTTTTTATCTTCCAGATTGAGTGTACAAGGAACCACTCTTAACAATTTCAAGGCATTGGATCCTACGGTCTGGGGTTCAATCAAGTCACAATACACGTACATGGATTTCAGATTTTCATATAAATCTACGGTATTGTTACCCATGTAACTCACGTTGATCCATTTGGTTTCTGTATCGTTCTGAAGCATCACCTTCTTACTTTCTATTCCTAACTTATAAGCTAAGGCTGTGGGAAAACGAATGCAAAAGGGATATTTTCTAAGTTCTCTCCCGTTAAAGTGATACATCACTTTATCATATTTGTCATGATAGGCTAATTTCATCTCACTCTTTTTTTTAGAATCAACAGAATCACCCAAAAACTTCCATAATTTTTTCAAAGTTCTTTCCAGTCCAAGACTGATTTCACTTGTTAAAGCCATGGGATGAATGTAAGGCCCCGGTCTAAAGTGAATTCGCTTAATTTCCATCTTCTGGTCTTTCGTTATTTGATCACCAAATTCAGTATGGTCCCAATCTAACAGTACAGGACATTGGCTTAATGGCATCGCCTCTATGGTTTTCATTTTAAATCTGTCCCATCTAAACGCATTAGGTTCTTCGACTTTTTTAGCATAAAACTGAGGAAGCAGGATGTCAAAATAAGCTTCCTCTTCTGTGATGTTTTTCAATGAAATGGGATACATCAATTCTGTTAAAGCCACTTCCCATTGTCCATCTGTTAAATCTACTGTTTGTGGTAATAAGGTTTTAAATTGAGCCGTCGTATTACTCGGAAAAGATTGCATGGACCCATCACTGGGTAAAGTCATGTAAAAACCACTGCTCTCGGCCATGTTCAGTGAGATACTGAGACAAAATAACTTAGGACCCTTCTATTTATAACAACACTTTTTTTTTGTTTTTTAAATTTTATTGAGTCTTTTTTTTTTTTTACACTTTTTCTTCTTCTTCTTCTTCTGATCTGTAATCAATCACTCTGTCCAAAACACCAGGTCCTTCCTTCTCCATATTGTCTTTGATCTGGGAAAGGGGGATGCGACAATACACGTACTGTTTAACGTCGTGATAATCTGAAAAGGTCAGTTCTTTTTTCTTCATCTTGAAAAAATGTCTCACACACTCTGCTATGTCGGAGTACCAGAGACTTTCGTTCAGAACCAGGGTCATCGGTGTCGAACGATTCATAGGATGAGTACAGCTGACCCATTTATATTGCTCGTAATGCTGGTTGAATTTCACCCTCACTCTAGTTCCTTTAGGATGCGGGATTTTGACTCTTTTTTCCAGCCACACGTCTTCCAGGGAATGTCCTGGATGATTTTCAAAGAAATCCAGGATCGCTCCTACTTTAGTTTTCATCCACCCTCCTTCCATGTAAATAAACCGAGTGATGGGGCTCTCACAATACCAACGATACTGCATCTTTTTTAAAAATAGGTCTGACTTGGACAATGAACTTTTTCAGAATGAATGATTTTTTTGGGGGTCATACCTCTTTATATAACCTTATCCAATCTATTTTTAGCATCTCAGGAAAAACCCAACAACAGTTTTTTTTTTTTGATTTTATGATTTATTTCCTTCATATCTACATAATGGACAAAGTCTGTAGCAAATCTTGACGAAGTTCTCGACACATTTCACACAGCATGGATACTGTCGGCATTGTTGGCACTTCCATCTCCCCTCCGTATTTTCCTCCCAGCAGGTCAGACATTTCTTTAAGGCTCTCTTCCTGGTCACTTTGACCCATAGGGGCACCATATTCTCTGCCCCGTACTTCCATGTGAAATATTTCACGCACCATCTACATCCACAGGTCTCCATGGAAGGGGGATCATCCACAAACCAGTGAGGAAAAGCCATTTCACAATGCTCGCAAAATTGATAAGTTCTGTGATGCCATCCGGGATGATCATACACTGTAAATGTACGCTCATGGATCATCTCCCTATCACAGTAATGACAGTAATACTTTTCTACCTCAAAGAAATACTTCAGTCTCCACATAAAAATCATGATGAAATGTGGTGGTGGAGGTGGTGAAATTTTTTTTTTTTTTCACAAAAAAGCTCAGCTTTAAAAAATACCTCTGGATCTGACTATTTACAGTCGCTTTGTGAAATTTTTTTTAAAAAAGCTCAGCTTTAAATACCTTTGGATCTGACTATTTATAGTCGCTTTGAAAAAAACCCACACGTGCTTCACACGTTCTTACTCTATTTAAGTCTATTGGTTTTTCCAAAGTCAAAAAATAAATTTTTTAAGTCTATTGGTTTTTCCAAAGTCTAAAAATAGATTTAAAAAAAAAAAAAAAAAAAAACCTCAGGTTTTTACCTAGGGCATAAACTTGGCACCGATTCAAGTCATCAAGCTGCCTATTGTGACATCATCACATGTATTCAGCTGAGAAAAATAAGACCTGGTTTGGTTTTATAGTTTTTTTTTTATTATTATTGTTCAAATCGACACAAGGGACAACTTCTGTAAGAAAGCCGTATAATGGACTTGTAACACTTTTCACAGCAGGGATATTTCATACACTGTTGACATTTCCATTTTCCTTGGGTGTTTTCTTCCCAGCAGGAGGGGCATCTCTCGATCTTGGTATTTCTTCTCATGCGCTTAGCCCAAAGTGGCATCATAAAATCAACCCCATATTTCCACAGGTAATATTTCAGGCACCAATCACAGCGACAATACCACAAACTAGGGGGATCGTCTACTTCCCAGTGAGGTATACGTTCTCCACATTCATTACATCCCCAATACCAACCAATAAGGTCGTCGTCGTCACTGTCATACTCAGGTAATCTGCTGATCTCTCTCAACTGCCTATGGCAATGAGGACAGGCACTATTTTCTTGGTGAAGAAAATACGACATTCTCCACACAGAAGGCATGATTGGAAAAAAAATGAGCACAGTGAACTCAAAGCTAAGATTTATATATATACCTTGGGATATCTATTTTTAGTCGATGCGGAAAAACCAACAACACCAGAATTTATTTTTTTTTTCTTAGGTTTTTAATTCACAACAACAACATTAAATTAACAAACATGGAATACTTTTGCATAGTTCTTTTTGAATAGGAAAAGTTCTCATCATGTACAAATATTCTGTTTCACAAGCACAGTCCATGATGTCGTATCCTTCTCTGAGCACTTTGATTACATAATCTTTGATACAATCTCGGACTTCTTCCATCCATTTTCCTTGAATCCAGGTCCTTACTGGTGCCTCTGTTTTGTGAGCCAAGACGTATTTGACTTTCCATTTGAATTCCTGATACTGGGGTCGCCATGACCCTAATAATA